ATTGGGTTCCCTGCTCAGCAGGAAGCCTGCTTCTCCCTCTCCCACTCCCCCTGCTTGTGTTCCCTCTCTCACTATCTCTCTCTCTGTGTCAAATAGATGAACAAAATCTTAAAAAACAAACAAACAAACAGGAATATTCTAGTGTTCGTTGTCTTCACTTCCTCTCCCGTTCTCTCTTGCACCCCTCCTAATCAGGTCTTTGTTTCTGTTCTTGCTGAAGGGCGCCAAGGGACTCCATGTAGCTAAACGTACCTTTTTTCAGTCCTTTTACTTGACCTTTCAGCATTATTTGGTACAGTTCATCACTTCCTCACCCTTGACACATTTTTTTTGGCTTCTATGTTACCACGCTTTTCCTTGTACTCTATTGACAGCTACTTCTCCCAATTGTTTTTGTTTTTGTTTATTTCTTTAGACATGAGAATTCTTCTAGGGCTCAGTCTTTAGGCTTTTCTTTTTCTATAGTCAGCCCTCATTGTGGCTGTCATCCTCTCTCATGGTTTTAAATATCTACTTGCTGGCAACTTCAAAGTTTGTATCTCTAGCCCAGGATTCCAGACTCATGTAATCGACTGCATATGTGACATCTCTTCTTGCATGTCTAACATATCTTGAATTTAATGTGTCCAAAGATGAACTAATTCATGATCTCTCCCTCCCAGTCCTATCATAATCATGTTCTTCCCTCAGTCTTTCCTTCTGGGAGAAGAACCCCATTTTTCCAGTTGCTCAGGCCACAAACTCGGGAACTGTTCTTGATTCTTTTCCTTTGAACCTCACATCCAAGCTTCAGTAAGTCCTGCCTGCTAACTATCAGGATGGATGTGGATGACCTTTCTTGTTTCCTCTGCCTCCCAAGTCCCTGTCATCAGTCATCTCTGGCTCAGATATTTGCAACAGCCTCCTAATTGGTTTCTCCGCTTCCATCCTTGCCTCCCTGTGGTTGCAGTTTAGTAGCTAGAGTGATGCTATAATAATCTGAGATCATGTCATTCATCTGCTCAGAGTCCTCAAATAGCTTTCCATTTCACTGAATAAAAGCTAAAGTAAAAGCCCTACATAGTATTGTTACCACCTGCTGCCCTGTATTATCTGACTCCCCAAGTCTTCCTTCTCGCTGCTCTGGGCCCACTGACCTCCCTGCAGTAACTTACACAAACAACAAGCTTCCACCTCTGAGCCTATGCTTTTGCTGTTCCCTTTTCTGGAGTCCCATTTGCCCTACATGTCACATAGTCTAGTCCCTCATCTGCAAATCTTTGCCCACGATTTTCTTAACAGAGCCCTTTTTTGACAACCCTATCAAAATAGCATGCCTCGGGGCGCCTGGGTGGCTCAGTCGTTAGGTGTCTGCCTTCAGCTCAGGTCATGATTCCAGGGTCCTGGCATCGAGCCCTGCATCGGGCTCCCTGCTCCACGGGAAGCCTGCTTCTCCCTCTCCCACTCCCCCTGCTTGTGTTCCCTCTCTCGCTGTGTCTCTCTCTGTCAAATAAATAAACTCTTTAAAAAAAAAAATAGCATGCCTCTTCCATGGTACACCCCATCTCCCTTCTCAGCTTCATTTTTTCTGTAATACTTACCACCACCTAAATATTTCACTTGTTTATTATATGACCTTCTCTAGAAGGTAAGCTGCATGAAAGTAGGGATTTGGGGGCAGGAGGAGGTCAACTTTATTGAAGCATAACATACAGGGATGCCTGGGTGGCTCAGTCAAGTAAGTGTCTGCCTTCGGCTCAGGTCATGATCCCAGGGTCCCAGGATCAAGTCTCACATCAGGCTTCCTGCTCAGCAAGGAGCCTGCTTCTCCCTCTGCCTGCCGCTCCCCTTGCTTGTGCTCTCTCCCTCTCTCCCTCATAAATAAATAAGATCTTAAAAAAAAAAAAGTGGGGAGAAGGGCAAGGGAGCAGAGCAGAAGACTTCTGTAGTAGATACAGAACCCAAGTGATTACTTGCAGGAGTTGGTGGAAGAAGAAAACTGATTTTTGCTAGTTTCAGTAAAAACCCTGTAATTTTGGAAAAACACTTTTTTTGGACACATTTTTTGACAAACATTTTAATGGATAAAGGAACTGAGAAATTTGGACCTAAAATATACATGGTATTTTATTGTGCTCTTGACAGATAAGTATTAATTGTAATAATTAATGGGGTTTTTGTTTTACTGTATGCATTAAGAAACTAGCAATTAGCAATTGTTCTTGAATTTTAATGCTTGTTTTCAGAAGAGTTATGACAGGATTTTGACAGGCTCTTTTCTGTTGGCTTGGCATTGCTGATAAGACCCCAAAAGCAAAATCTCATGTTCCCCTGCATTTTAAAGGGTACTTTAAGGCGTGGACATCCTGTCCCACAGGAGTCTCTAGGCATTTTAAGATTTACAGAACCTCTTGCTCTTGGGCCTCCACTGACATGTTAGCATATAACAAGGTTCAGATCCAGAGGAGAGGGGCCCTATGCTCCTAGGGTGAGGCCTCTGCCCTCTCCGCAGGACTAGGGGACTCAGGTACCAAGAGAATAACTGGACATATTGGGGGCATCTGAAATCACTGGAGCTGGCCATGGGACACCAGCAAAACCACAGGCCCCCTTCTTCTTGGGATAGCTAGCCATGTCCCCCTGAAGAGTGTATATGGGGTGGTAAGGGGGTGGAGAGGAATCAAACACAGGCAGGGGTCTGAAACTGGAGATTTCTGAAGGAGGGGCAGCTGCTGCTAGAGTAGCCCCTACCAGGAGAGCATGAAGCCCTCTAAGGGTCCGAGGTTGTGTTGTGCCTAGGAAGAAAGGGACAGGACCACTCATCTGTTTTCTTTGCTGCCAAAGATCACAAGACAGGATTTCAGTAGCTCTGAAGACCATGTAGCTCTGACCATGTAAGTGATGGTCGAAACCAAGAGCCTTGAGAATGAATGGGGAGCTAACCAAACGAGAAGCTGGAGTGGTGCTTGAAAACCGGGACAAACCTCTACTCTGTGCCTGGGGCTCCCAGAAAAGGGAAGATAGGGTGGCAGGAGCCATAGGGCTGTGTCCCAGTGACTGTTAGATGATGACCCACCTGGAGAGGGGTTAAAGGCGAGAACTGCATGGGGCCAAAGAGAAAGGAGAATGCCCCGCCGTAAATGAACACTTGGGGCTGCGGTGACAGCCATGCATCTTCCCAGTGAGGAGACTCCTGCCCGGCAAGCCACCGGCCCCTGAACAGGACCATCCTGGCGGACCTCACCTTCTTTCTCCTTCATTCGCCCCTGACCCACGCGCGGAAAAGCGGCCAGGGCGTTCGGACATCTGAAAATAAGGTATGAGTTTGGAGTTTTAAAGCGGCCTAGACTAAGTTTCAATATCCGTAAGTAAGTGCAAATTTGCTTTCCCTTAGGTTAAGGGATCCTAATGGGGGATCTGAGAGCGTCGCGGGGTAAGAAGGCCGCTTATTGGTGACACCACACGGGTTAGAAGGGTTTGTACCACCAAATTTCGGAATTAGTAACAGGAAGAGCTGGGTGTTCCATTTAAAGAGGTGTCAAAGGAAGCCCACTTGCGTCCCCCCACATTTCACGAGCGATAGGTGGGAGGCGCGGTCCGCACGCCCGCGAACACCCGGCCTCCGAGTTCCCGGGTTGCGCGGCGCGACTGGAGACTACATTCCCCGAAAGCCTTGGCGGTGGCGCACTTCCGCCTCCGTAGCTGACGTCTTCCGCCGCTGACGCCCGCGCTCGGCGCACGAGGGAGAGGAGTGAGGTTGTGCACCCGCGCCTTCAGTTCCAGTTTGCGTGGGATTGTGCTCAGTGTTTCGTGCACGGAGCGCAGATGAGCAAGAGTTTGGGTGGGTGTGCGACGTGCGCCCAGCGTCCGGCTCCGGTGTCCCATGGCCAGAACACCCCAGGCCGGGCCCCGCCCCTCTTCTCCCGCGCTTTGCCCAGAGGCTGGGCACTGCCACCTCCTGTCATGTGACCTACCCGACAAAATGGGGATAAGTTGAATCATATGAGATTGTCTAGGTAAGTGGAGAAACTCCAGGTAACCGTATGTTATCTCTCTGAAAAAGTGTGGGTTTTCCCGAGGAAGTGTGTTTCTACTCCACTGAAACAAGGTCCTAAAAACAGAGACACCATCTCCTCCTCTCCCTCCGCCTTTTCGCTCCCTTATTCTGGATAGGAACGGTCCTGGGCAGGTAGGCCGGAGTGAAAATGATGAAGCCTTAAGTGAAGGGCCACACTCCCAATAATGGTGGTCTAGGTAATTAGGGCCACCTCTTCCATGGAGTATAACCTAAGCTGGTTGTGAGATCGAGCGCCACATCAGGCTCTATGCTGGGCTTGGAGCCTGCTTAAGATTCTCTCATTATCCCTCTGCCCCTCTCCTGCGCTCTCTCTCTCAACAAAAGTATAAAAGTGCTGAAAGCTGGGAGTCTGAAGAATCACCCCACGTTTGAACAGGGACCCCACAAATGAAGGTACCCTCAAGAAAATGTTGAACTGGAGATAAGCCCTGGCATAGACATGTATCCCAAATTCATGTCATCTTGGAGGTGTAAGGAACCTGAGCCTTCAGTATGGACCAGACTAGTGGTGTGCCCAGGTGTTGACAGAAGCAAATGAAAATATAGTACCTTATAGAAATACTTTAGGGAAAGGTATTATCATCTCAGACATCAGAGTGTTCACATACACCCCCTTTCTTAGTAACTTCCAGCACATTCTCAAAGATAACCAGATAAACAAGGAAGTAAGACATCATGAAAAAACAGGCAGAAATAATAGAAAACAAATACACAAAAATTTCAGATTCTAGATTTATCAGAGAAAGAGAATAAAATAGCAGTTTTTCTTATTTTTAAAGAGAAGAAAAAAGCTAGAAAATATCTACAAAACCACAAAAGCTTAAGAAATTGACGTATCAGATTTGGAAAAATGACCAAACATTAAAAAATAGCTAATTAAAAATTTAAAAACTGTGTTTAACAGCAAATTACACAAAATAATTAATCAGCTGGAATATAGGTAAGAAGAAATTGTCCAGAAACCGGTGGGCAGAGACAGTGAGATGAAGAGACAGAAGAGTCAGAAATAAGACTAAGTAAAACACATGAAATCATTGGGCAGGAAAGTCCAACATAAGTTTAACCAGATTCCCAGAGGAAAATAAAAACTATAAGAAATATTTGAAGAGTTAATGCCTACGAGTTTTCCAGAACTGATGAAAGACATACCAAGCTATAGATTCAAGAAGCCCAATGAAACTAGAAGAGGATAAATAAAAATAAATCCACAACTATGTACATCATGGTGAAACAATAGAATATAGAGGGTAAGTAAAATCTTATAAGCAGTTAGACAAAAAGATCAGTTAACTTCAGAGAAGTAACATCTGACTTCCCAATAGCATTAATAAAAGCCATATGAATGAGGAATGATATCTTCATTGTACTTAAAAGAAAATATGTGCCTACCTAGAACTCTGTATAGCAAAAATATTTTCAGGAATGGAGACACAAGTCCCTTTTACAAAACTAAAAACAGGAATTTCATCATGAGCAGACCCTAACTAAGGAAAGGAAATTCTAAACACTGTATTTCATACAAAAGGAAAATAATCCCAGATGGATGGTCAGAGACACAAGAAAGAATAAAGCCCAAAGAAAGTGGTCAAATGTGAATAAATGATTAACTGTATAAAACAATAATAATATTTATAAGTCTTTAAACATACAGAATTAAAATCCAAGACAGAGATGCTTCCATTGCTAGCTATAACAGAATAGCTTGTCATAAACTAACATTTCTACCAGAAATAGCTAGAAGAGCTGGATAAAATACAAATATATGTATTATTTATGCATATACATATATATTTGTGTGTGTGTGTGTATATATATATACTTGAAAGCATTGGAGAGCTCCCAAAGCAGCCAGGAATTGAGGATACAAGATATCAAAGAGAAGGAGAGCTCACTGAGATAAGCCCAGCATTCTCCATGCCTCCTCTCCCAGAGGGACAGTTGATGGTACCTAGTCACAGCGTTGTAAAACAGTTGAAAAACAAAAGACTAGAAAACATTAGGAACAGCAAAAGGAAAAAAAAGACATTTTACCTTTGTAGAGAAAATACTGGAAGAATGGTCAAAACGCCACAGGTATCTAACAAGCTAGTGGATAGAGCAAAATAAGAAAAAATACTAATTCAGAAAGTGCGAAAGAACTTGTCAAGAGCCTCCTGCACATCCACAAATGCAGCACATCCAGCTGAGGAGTCACAGTGGGCAATTTGACTCTTCCTTGAGGGGTCATTGGAGGGATGAAGTTTCATCTTTGACCCAGGCTTGAACCAGAGGGTAATGGGCTGGATGCCAACTCTAGCCCAGAGAAATCCCAGGATGCCACAGCCACAGACACCCTGCCTCACCATCTCCCACCTCACCTAGAAGCAGTTCCACACTTCTGGAAAGAGGTGGCTTTCGCCTACCGCACTCCTGCCCAAAAATAGTCCGTGTCCACCAGAGTGGGTGGCAAAGGGGCAGGAATCCAAGGAAACTGAGCCAAAGGCAGGGAGAGAAAAGCACTCCTTTGCCTCCCCTGTTACGTGTGACGTTCCCCAGAGTTTGCCAGGTCAGTGGCATTTCTTGGTTCAGGGATCCAATTCAGAGGTGGGGGTGACTTCACTGACTCAAAGACCCAGCAACCGATCAGAACAGCAGTGGTAAGTCTGCAAAGAAGGTTGTGGACTTGGGGCCCTTCCATGGGACAAAAACAGCTTCCATATTAGGGAGCTTTATGAAACACCTGCAGGCCCTGCAGGATTCTGCACATCCTCCTTCACCTTCATGGTCCCTGTGCTCTGCCACTGAGGTCCTTAAAGGGGCACGTAGGGCTCAAGAGGAGGTGATGACCTCTGTGCTGATGAGTCAGCAACTGCAGACCCAGGAGCTTATGTTGGGGGTGGGGTGCAGGGAAAGGTGGGGAGTAAAAATCTGGGACTGGAGAAAAAGGGCCCTAGGGGGGTCAAAAGGAGAGCAGAAAGGGATGGGGAGAAGAGGACAAAGGACAGAGGGTTGGGAACCCTTCCTGGGGGCTCCAGGGTGCTCAGTTAAGGAGGATCTCGCACATGTTACAGGAACCCTTTCCTCTATGCCCATCCACTCCTACCTTTAGCCAGGCCAAATCAGGTGTCAGGAAAGACATTTTTGGTCCTTTTCCCCTTTAAATTTGTTTTCCAGTTTCACAACACAAACACTTTTGGGGGTGGGGATTAAGGAACCACATCCATGACATTGCCCAACCTATCTGGATGCTTCTAATTCATACTACACCTGTTACTTCAAGGAGAGATGGTGGGTAGGAAAACTGTGTCCCCACACCAGGCTCCTCTTTCCACTATGCCTCAAATACAAGTAAATGTTATGACTAGGGAAATATAAATTCATTTTTTTAAATGTCACTGAATTCACAGATTTGGTCATTGTGTAGTACAATGGTTTTCAAATTTGAACATACGTGAGAATCTCTTGGAGCACTGGTTGAAACAGATTTCTGGGCCCCAGCCTTCTATTTTCTTATTCAGCAGGTATGTTCCAGAGCATTTGCAGTTCCAAAAAGTTCCAGATGATGGAACTGGATGACACTGCTGGTCCAGGGACCACACTCTGAGTACTGCTAATCTAGGTTATCAAATAGAGCTACTTTTAGGGATGCTCTGTTTGTTTTGTTTTTCAAGCACTCTCCTCCAGTTTATTCAAACTCTTAGCCAATTTTTCTAGCCTTATCCCTTCCTCAAATATGTCCAAACAACATTTCATGGAGGATATAGACCAAAATAGTAACAAGAATAGCAGGAATGAAAATGATACTCCAGACCCTTAAATACAGAGAAAACTGGTGGTTGCCAGAGGTGGGGGGTGGGTGCTGGGGCAGGGATGGGCAAAACAGATAAAGAGGATTAAGAGATACAAACTTCCAGTTATAAGTCAGGGAGGGGTGCCTGGGTGGCTCAGTTGGTTAAGCGTCTGCCTTTGGCTCAGATCATGTCCCTGGGTCCTGGGATAGAGCCCCATGATGGGCTCCCTGCTGAGCAGGGAGTCTGCTTCTCCCTCTCCCTCTGCCCTCTCCCTGCTCATGCTCTCTCTCTCTCACTCAAGTAAATAAAATCTTTTTTTTTTTTAAAGATTTTATTTATTTATTTGAGAGAGAGAGA